AACCACCCCTTTCCCAACCCCCGGGGATTTTTGGATGTCGCCCGGGGAACGTGACCGGGGAGAGGGCCCCATCAATGCTTTCCTCTTTTCCCTGGGACTCCAAACTTGTACGCTGCGGACCCCGAACCGAACCGGAAAAGGGGTACAAAAAAAAGGTCAAAAATTGGGGGAACGGGGAGGCCCCCCCCCCAAACGGAATGGGGGGACCCCTTGGAGTGGCCGTTCTTCTTTAAAAACCGAAAATTGGGGGTTGTTGTGGTTTTGGGGTTTATGGGGAGGGGGGGGGGGGGGGGGGGGTAGGAATCCCCAATAATATGTTCGACGTTCCGGCGGTTTCATTAGTCAAGTAGTTGTACCGGACCGTTTGTGATCCCTGCCTGGACGGTAACCATACTACACCGGGTGGACAAGCAAAAATATGCAGCGGAGATGAGGCATACCTCTACCTAGGCACGAACGATTAGACTCAACTATTATCGAGGTCTTCTGGGATGGGGCCAGGATCGACCATCAGCTGCACCACACCACTGAAAACCAATCGGGACTCGATACAGGCTGTGTGAATTCGGCGGAACGGAGCACGTTTTTTCCTCTACCAATACAAACGGTGCTCTGCTGTTAGAATTCCTCCTGAGCGGAACGGGGCCGGCCGTGATATGTCCTCCCCACTGCCGCCGTATTGTGACTCACGGTGAAAAGGTCTTCGACTGCTGCCCCACCCCTCCCCCTTCCCCTCTTCTTACCGGGGAACAGCGTGCTGAGATGTTCGAATAGGGGGGCGTCGCGGCTTCGAATCTCCTCGTAGGCGCGCGTCCTGAACCCCCGACGCAACTCTTCCGCGCCCGGGGCAAACCGGGTGGAGAGACTGTAAAGCATGGCGACCAGAGCGGCAGCGCCACCGGCGGTTTCGCCTCTTTCACCTGCTACATACGCAGCAGCGAGAGGCAAAGGGTAGCACATCCATTTGTTCTTCGCCAATCTGGGGGTGAGTCAACTTCGCCCGGGGTTCTCCACAATCATATAACACAGGCATAAGATCGAAGTGAGGTCGATCGGTCGGCGCCAAGAGGCTCGATCCCTCTCTTGACCTGTCCCGTTTCGCCACCTTTCTTGGTGGTGGCCACTTCTTGGCCAAAGACGTACGCCAGCACCAGTGACGAAGCCACGTGCCTCGACTCGTGCTTGCCCACGAACACGAAGTACTGGTTCAGGAGGTTCTCCGCCTCACCGCAGATCCGACGCCTCTGGTCTAGCTCTTGTCCTCTGCGTTGCGTTGTGTTGCCGTTCGAGAGGTTAATTGAGCTGGTTCCAGGTCTCGCACCATGCTCTAGGAACAACGTCGAAAAAGGTGTGCGGCTGCAGGGTAAAGCTTGGCGTGCGGGTCTCACTCTCAGAAGCGTACATGGGGCGGCGGTCTCTGGGTCATTTTTTCCGTGCAGGTTACGCCCGCCAAGGGAGCATTTTAGGAAGTCCACTCTTTCATTCGCGATGCCAAGAAAACAGCACTCTTTCATTCGCGATGCCAAGAAAACAGCACGCCCGGCAGCAAGTGAACGCCTGCAGCGACCACAGCCGTCGCTGCAACGGTGCGAGCGCGCGCGAACACCAACGGCCTACAAAAAATACTGCCTCGTTCTGCAGAGCCAGCGCCGGGATCTCGAGCATCGCCTCAACGTACCCACCCGCCACGGGAGAGCCAAGGAAACGCCTCCGCGGCCCGATGTCTAACTCCGGTGGCCACCATCCCCGCTATCGGCGTGTTCGTCGGGTCCACGATGCCCTTCTCCCCGGCGAAACGGACGATGAGCCGCTCCACTTCCGCGGGAGACGGCCCGCCGCCGTTGCCGCGAAGGAGCGTCCGCTTCCACAGTTCTCTCCTGACCGATTCGGTGGCGCCGTGCGTTTTCGTCAAGTGTTGCCGATTCGATTTGTTGTTGATCGCGGTGTGTGCTCTATCCATCAAACCAGGAGTTGAAGCCTGCATCGATTTACGTAGACCCTGTCGTTTGTGTAAAGGAGTGCCGATCCATGTCCACTCGAAAGCTGCCAAGTAGTGTCTGGACCAAAATCAGTAATGTTCCACACGGTTCCGACCCTCCCTTTTCGTTCACTTTGGAACGTGATTAGCGTTCTGACAAATCAAGCACAACTACCATTCGATAGGCAACTACCTGAGCTCCATCGGAATCGACCTCCCGATGATGTGCGGGGCAAGCCACTCCAACCCCGGAAACCTTCCCTCCGCCGCCTCCACGGCACCATCTAAACCCGCCCGAAGCCCGTTCTCCCCGCCCCCTGCAGCTACTGCGGTGTCTTCGGAGAGGTACCGGAGCTTGGCAGCCGCGTGCTCCAAGCTCTCCCTCTCTTGTTGAAGCAAGTGCTCCTGGGCGGCGGAATCGTTGCCGCTGACGTCATCCCTGCCCTTGGGGCCCTTCAGCCCCGTTTCCCCCCCAGATACACCTCTGGCACCGCCGCCGCCGTATGCGCCCTTGCGCCCTTTAGCAGGGGCCGGGGCTCGACCCCCGGCTCGTTCCGCGCCGTCGCCGCCTCTATTGCTCTGGTCGCCGTCGCCCCTCCCGGGGGTGGTGGGGCCGAAACGCTCGAACCCTTCCCCCGCGGCGATGGCCACGAGCGCCTGCACGATGTCGCCGCTGCAGGCGGCGTGTCCCGGGCGAGCGATCCCGCGCGTGTCCTCGTCGCTCTTCTTCTCTTGCCCGTCCGCGTCTTCGCCGGTGCTGGCTTTGCCGCCGCGTTTGTGTTGGTGGCCGTTGTTACTTGCGGCGGGAACGTGCCCCTTGTCCCTCTCCCCGTCTTTGTGTTGACTCCCCGTTGCTCTTTCGCCTGCCTTAGCCTGTCGCTTCTCCCCCCTTTCAGCGTAGTCCGTGCGTTTCTGGAGGCTCCCGACGTAGACCGAGCTCACGAGAGAGCGAAAGGCTCCGAACTCTGGAGATTCGAGCATGTTCTGGGCCTCTGCACGCTGGTCCACCTTCTCGGCTATGTCTGCGAGAGTCTCGCCCAGCAAGCCCACCGCCCCGCCCGCCGAAATGTAGGGCTCGTGAAGGAGGTGCGGCTGAGCCTTTCCTCGGAAAAGGTTGGCGGCCTTGTCTTGCCCGAAGATGTCTCCGGAGATCTGTCGGGCGGCCTCGATCGTATGGGGGTGGGCCTGGGGGTAGGACTCGTCCAGGTGGGCTCGAACGGCGACCTCCGCCAGGTCTTCAAGGCGTGCTTGGAGCTGAAACAGGTAGCCCAGACGAGCATGGGTTGCAAGATGCGAGGTTTGGTCGTGTGTGTACATAGAGACCACCAGGGGGTAGTAGGCGGAGACACAAGATGTCGACGGAACTACACAGAGTGGGTGCCTGAGGTTCCAGGGTATGACCACATGCCCTACCAATAAGAATGGCATCACCTATCACAGGATTCCTACCGCCTAATAACGTGGTCATGTGTATTGTAGGGTGCCACTGTTTACGCCCCGCGGGTCGGTGCCGACCAACTCCTCCCTGCTGGCTCTCGGAAAACGAACGTCGCACAGATCGTGTACCTTTCGTCGAAACCATTTCTTAGCGATTGCTTCAGACTTCAATTGATCCACGACTTTGTAGCAAACTGTGAACGTTGATCGGACTGTTTCATTTGGGAGGTCGTCTTTTTTGATATGGTGCGCGCCCAACAAAAAGAGGGGGCAGGCAGTGCCTATTTATTTGTTGTTGGTGCTGCAGTCCGGGATGATTTTTTCGTCTCAAGACACATAATACCCGCTGTGGCGGTGCACTGGTGCACTACTGTACGTTCCACGACTCCTTGCAAACACCTAACGTGCTGTGGCATCCCTACATCGAGAACCCGGCGTGTTTGACATGTGTTGCGCGCGCGACCTTGCCTTTTGCCACTCGGGGTGCAGCACGATGGCCTCGTGCGATCCTTTTAGCCAGGCCGTCGCAGTTGTGGGGATTTCGGCAGCCTGCTGTCGGGCGAGAGCACGCGCCCGAGCAGGGCCCTCGCGGCGAGTAGAGCCACTCATGTCTGCGGCCTGGGTCTAACCGTCAGAGGTGTACTCTCTAACAAGTCAGGAGCGAGAGAACAGGATGGGTTCTTGCCCGTGAGACTGGCCGGAGGCAGGGGAGAAGGGGGAGCGATCCAAACTCCGAAACAGACCGAAAACAGAACCATTTTGGAACCAAAAAACGGTTTGGTTTAAAAGTCACACAATTCGGAGCAGATTCGGAGAGTCGGTGAAGCAACTCAGCAACTCAGCAACGGCGGCAGGGCGGGGGTCATGTGACGGTGGCCCCCTTCCTTGCAAAAAGAGGTCACACACCCCAGTCCTTTATGTAACACTAGGTGCGCGATGTGTGTGACTGTTGGGTTCGTTCGTGGCCGACGCAAGATGTTTCACCTTCGGTAGTTTTGCTGAGCGCATCAGTCCATCAGTCATTCATACAACACCGAACATATCCGGAACCAACCGTGGTCTGATATGAATAGTTGCGGTTGTTGATGGATCCTTGTAAGTACTAGCGGAGCGGCATATTTATGTCATACGAACCATTTTGCCGGTGCTGGTGCTCACCATTTCCTTCGACAAGCAGGGAGTGAATCATGGTTGCCACAGCAGTATGTACACAAGTACGCAATCCCAGGCTTTTTGTGTGTGTATGTATACATACTATACATGGTACATGCTCCTTTTCGGCGAAAGCCTCCACGAGCAAGCATGTCACCTCTAGTGGTTTGCATCGATCTGCATGCAACGCATGCACGAATTCTGTGCCTCGAAGGGCATGTTTCTCTCTCCTTCGCGGGGCATGTTTCAATGTCGTTCGCGGAGCCCGATGAATGAAGAAATTTTACTCACGGACCCTTGGTGCTGCATGTTGTCGCTACTTCGAAATGCCGACCTTCACCCTGGGTTGTGACGGATCCAGTGGTTAAACTTGTTGATTTGAGTATGTATGCGGGCGCGTGCCCTCAAATGGGCCACCACACGAAGTTTTACCGCCACAGGGGGCCAAGACGCCCCCTGTTGAAAATCGGAGGCTTTGGGTCTGCTAAGACTGTGTAGTCAAGAACAGTTCCCTGGTGGTTTTGCTGGTGTTAGATTGCTTGGTGTCTTCATTTCAGCGAACGTCAGATCTGCTGAAAAGAGGTCCTGACTAAAAACAAGATAATAGGCTGATGACGCAAGTCAGAAGTCTATCTGTTCAAGTGACCTGTGCTACGGCGGTAGCAGCAGTGAGCAAGCAAGGTAACAGAAGCGTGTGGCACACCTTGTTGACAGGTGTGCTGAGAGGTGCACTGTAGACGTAAGTCTACAACCAAATGGTATTTGGTTCAAAGAAAAATGAGAAACAGATGTTGTACAAATTTGTTGTATGGTTGAGCTGGGCAGGAAACAGAGTGAGCTCCGGTGGGGGGCGTGCGCTCTGCCTGGTCAGCGTTTTTGTCGATGACCGACGAAACTACGAAGAACCTTAGTACCGGTCCGGAACCGTTCCGGGAACGTTCTGGGAACCAAAAATCCGTTCTACAAGACCAAAAGCACCGTTCCGGAAACGTTCCGGGAACCTTTCTAACCTTGCTCTGGACTTTTCCTGAGAACGTTCCTAAGAACCGTTATAGGAAAATATGCCCGATCTATGAAACATTCTACGAACCGTTACGGGGTCTACCGCATCCATCAGTGGATCGTTCTAGATACCTTTCCCGAAATATCGTTCTTCAAGTTGAACTAACTTCCTTAATAGCTTATTATACCGCGTTTAGTGTGCGTTATCACGTATACTGAAACAGTCTTTATCAGTTGATACTGATATTTCTAACACCCCCCAGCAAACAAACACGCATTTTTTTCTCACAACAACATGTGTCTAACACACGTACCCGTACAGCCCGCAAACAGAATAACATTCCGCAAGAGAATGTCACCAAAAGCCGCCACCGTGGCCTGCTCTCAATCGGGTTAGCCCAATGTTTATCCTCTCAATGTGATGTATTTGTTTTGGCGCTCTTCAACGAGACACCGCCGTACAACAGGATATAGACTAGCCGTTCACGGTTGAAAATGAATTGAGCCAAATGGGATTCGTACCCCCAAGTCTCCTTGAAGGAAGCAAACACGCACGCACGGTGCTAAGTTATATTCGACAGAATTTACCGACACCAAGGGACAAAAGCGCGCAAGGTAAAAGGGCGAACCTCTCATCGCCAATACCACCCCTCAGTTCACGGCTCTTCCTCCACTTAGTACTTCACATCTAGTGTACAAAATGATCCACGACTTTGATACATCATGGCGCCGGTGACACGTGCTGCTTGGCTACAGGAAGTGGTCCTGCCTCGAATGCCTGTTCCCGACAACCAGCTCAGCTACACAAAGTCCGATGCACGCTGAAATCACTCCTCTCACAACCCGTCTCTCTTTATTTACGTGAAGCCACACATTTCCTACCTACTACGTGTGCACGGCTTGTCTACCCTGCACGAACCGAAAAGTATGGCCCGTGTGCTGGGGGTCATGGACTAGAGCTTCGCGGGGGCAGTCCCACCTCAAGGGTGGTCGCATCTTCTCTCAAGGTGTAACGGCCTCTCGACGAAAGGCTACGACAAAAACGGTTTTACACCTACTCTTTACTAATAATACAAAAAAGTACTACACGTGTTGCTTATGGCTTCCAAGAGCTGCTGTGTGGAACGGACAGCTGCCGCCCAACAGTATGCCCACCGGAGAAGCGAAGACGATGCCCTGGGAGCCGCCAAATCGTACGCCTGACAAAGCCTGGCAAAGCAGCGGGCAATCATCGAGGCGGAGGGGCAGCAGTCGGCAGAACGCGGTTGGTGGGATGCGGGAAATAATCAGAAGCAAGTTTTGGGACAATGGAATGAAATCATTAATTATTGGCGAGGAAGACATGACGTGCACACGAACCAGCACATCAATAGACACGAGAAACAACATGTCTCGGGCGTGTTCTTGCCACACCATGGCTCTCACCGCGAGGTCCTCCCGCGCGTATCCAGCGTTCACATTTAGTGGTCGTCGCTGTCGCTGTCGCTGCTGCTGCTGCTGCTGCTGCTGCTGTCACTGCTGTCGCTGCTGTCGCTGCTGTCGCTGCTGTCACTGCTATCGCTGCTGTCAGAGTCGCTGCTGCTGTCGTCAGAGCTGTCGTCGCTGTCCGAGGCGTCGTGACAGACGTTGCCGGTGGGGCCGTCGAAGCGGTCGGCGATCATGACGGCGGTCCAGGCCGACGCGAACTCCTTCAGGAACTGCTCGTTGTCCTCGGCGTACATGACCGTCTGGGCCTTGAACTCCGGGTCCCAGACCAGGGCGAGGTCCGTCGCCAGCACGTAAATGCCGGACCTGCCGACGGCCTGGAACTCCTGCCCGTTCGATCCCGGCACCTCTTCCCAGGTCTCGGTGAGGAGGGTGACGTAGAAGGCGTTCGAGAGGGGCGGGTTCTCTTCGTCCGTGTAGGACCCGCTGAAGCCGAGGGTGACCATGTGCGAGGCGCTGCGGGGGCGGCCGGCGAGGGCCACCATCTGCGCGACCGACAGGCCCCTGATCTTCATGCGGTCGCGCACGCCCACGATGACGTCGTCGTACTCGCGGGGCTCGAGGACCGAGATGAGCTCGTCGCCCTCGGCGACGTCGACGCGGCCGGCGCAGAACGGGAGGTCGTCGAGGTCGAGGGCGAGGTTTCCCGCGAGCACGATCAGGTCGGCGTAGGACACGTCCGGGTACTCGTCTTGCACGGGCTCGAGCAGGCTCAGCACCTACAGTAGTTCGTTTCGTGTACAGCAACGGCGTTTGGTATTGGACGGGGCAATAGCAGGAGATAGTACGCACAGCATAGGCGAAATCACTAGGGAACAAAAAACAAAAGCGACCGGCTTAGGAAGTCGGGCTGCGAGATCGTAGTAGCACAAACGACGCGGAAAAAGGTGTCCTAAGCGAAACTTGCACAAGAAACACAACCCTGCAAGCGTCGCCTAAAGAGCGACATCGTACCGTAGGCGCGACACCCACACACCTGGTCGAGACCCTGGTTGCTGGCCCAGTCCCTCTCGGGAGAGAAGCGGATCCTCGCCCCGTTGCAGCCGCCCAGGAAGTCCGTGGAGCGGTACGTGGACGCGCACTGCCAAGCCAGCGTGACGAACAGGGCGGGGTAGGACGGATCGCTGGACAGGATGCTCATGATCGCCGACTTGGCCCCGTCGGTGTCGGGGAGGTCGGCCGGCGCCTCCGGGAGAGGCAGCTGGAAGTCTTGGGGCGGCGCCACGTCGGTGCCCACGCAGCGCTGGAACTGGCCCATGTCCCGCGAGGTGAGCTTGTACCAAGCCGCGGCGAAGGCGGTGTCGAGGTAGGACAGGTCGCTGGCGAAGAGTTCCACGAGGGCGAGGTATTCCTCGTCCTGCACAACAAGCGGTCAGCGCAGAGGATTTTAAGGAATGAGACCGGTGTATGCGTGTGCGAGGTTTCGACCATTGCTGGCATTTTTCTGACGTGTGTTGTGGCTATCAAATAGTTGTCAACGTGGGACACAAATCTGGAATCCCTACGTGTCGGATAGGCACGTGTCATGCCAACGGCGTCACATAAAAGACTGATATCATGTCAAACGTCACTCGGTACCTACGCCGAAGGACGACGACCTACCCCGAAAATTTGGACACACACGTTCGGCATATATGGTTGGTGGAGGGTTCAATCCTAGGCGGAGGAGAAAAGATGACGGTTTCGCTTTCTCTCACATACAACAAGGCGATGTCGCTGGTGAGCATGATGATGTCGGGGATCTCGTCCTCCGTCTCCGTGGCCCCCTCCTTCAGGACCGGGAACCACTGGACCTGGTCCGCCGGACTCTCCGTCATCACCCAGTCGTACTCGAGGAGGTCCTTGAAGTACGCGTTGTCCCACACCAGGGGCTCCACCGTCCACTGGCCCTCGAACCCGCTCGTGAAGGTGTTCTCCGCGCGGCCGAAGGTCGGGGAGTCGGGGTCGCCGCACGTTCCCGGCCAGGGGGCTTCGGGGGCGTCGGTGGGGTCGGGGCCGGGGCCGGTGGCGCACGCGCCGTGGAATTTTCCTGGTTGGGAAGCACGCGCCGCACGTTATACCCCGATGGCGCGGGGGGGGGGGGGAGGGGTAATCAGCGATCTAGCACAGAGACAGCGAAGGAAGCAACGTAGAGCGGAGGACAAATCGCTCCGAAGACCACATGAAGAGCAGACCACCTGAAATGGTGGCGGTGATCCCGTGGGTAGGTTTGGGCAGCGGCATCGACAACCGGGACGTGGTGCGGAAGATTGGGTTGCGCGGTTGCAAGAGAGGATGGATAATTGTGCCACGATGATGTGCAAGCGTTCTGGAGGGGTTAGCCTACAGCTAGATGTGAAACAGCATGGGCACGGGCACGCGCTGACCGACATTGTAGAGATCCTTTTCGTCAGCAACAACCCGTGCTGTACTTCTGCCTGTGTGGTGCGCATGAGAACACAACCAATTCAGATGCCAAGACGCTCCGCTCCGCACGACGTGTACCAATGATGGCGTTTCGGATCGATGCGTACAAGTAATAAACAAACTATTATTATAGCACGTTGTTGCCGACTCTCTGACTCGCTCAAGCTCACCGAACGCGTGCCCTCCGCCGATAAGAGCCACGGTCTCGCTGTCGTTCATGCCCATGCGCCCAAACACGTCACGGATATCGGCAGCGCTGCCGGCGGGGTCGGGAACACCGAGGGGCCCCTCCGGGTTCACTGGGGATGTATGGGGGAGGTAGGAGAGTTTCGCCGTCAACAGCAGTGGTTGTTCTGTTGATGGAACACTCAAGGTAAATAATTGGTTGATTACATCAAAATACTAGAAGAATACCCCGAGCAGGGGCGGTGCAGAGAAAATGAGCGTGAGCCTTCGAGAGGAACACAGGGAGGGGCAGTGGCGCGTAGATGACTAGGTACTCCGGCATGCAGGCACTGGCAAACCGCTGCCGAAATCACGAGGTACATGTCGCCGAGCGGGGGTCCAAGCTCCAACGCCTACGTCCGCGCGTGTGGCGTCGTCGTCATGGGGTGCAAAACCAAAGGTGAGCTACCTACATCTATCGACTACGCATTTTGTCTGGCGGGAAACTATGTAGCGCCAGTTTTACTCACTTCTCCATGTCAGGGGGAACAAGACCAAAGGAGAGGAGAGCTACCTACCTGTCTGTGTATTTTCGATTTTCGATGGAACACGGCGGTGACAAGACCCACCCTCATCACTACGCATTGCCCCAGTGACAAAACAAACACCGCCGTTTTACTCACCGTAGATCAACCCCACCGTGCTGGTGCCGAGGGGGAACTCGCACGTCCCGTTGACGGCGCAGGGAGCGACGGCCTCCTGCTCGGGTGAGGGTCCGAGCTCGAGGCTGTCGAACCCGGAGGCGTCGTCCAGCCTCCCGGCGCAGAACCCAAGCACGGGGCCCCCCATCGACCTGATCGCCTCGTTACCCGTGAGGGTGATGAGGTCCCCCCACGAGACGGCGTCGCCGTACTTGAGCTTGATGGGCTGCAGCAGGGTCAGCGCCTTGTCGAGGTTGGTGTTGTCGGCCCAGCTGCGCTCCGGGTTGAAGCGGATCCGGCCGCCGTCGCACCCGCCGCGGCCGTCCGACTGGCGGTAGTTGCCGTTGCAGTGCCACGCGAGGCGGATCATCAGCGGCGCGTAGTTGCCGAAGTCCGCCGGCCAGAAGTCCTGCGAGTCCGTGAACACGGCCGTGATGTCGGCCTGGAGTGCTTCGTAGGTCTCCCGCGAGAAGTCCGCGCCGCTTCCGGAGTAGTAGCTGTCATCGTAGGACCTCAGGGCACGGTCCACGCCGGTGCCTAGGTCGGGTTGCGAGCCCTGCCGTCGGGCGGGAGCACGGGGGTGGTGGTCGTGGTTAGGAGGAGGTGCGCGTATTGCTAATCGCACTATTTCATCAGGCAGCTTGACACACACTCGGTACAACACGGTATACGGTGTGATCTGGCCCACGGATCGAAGGAAACTCTGTGCTTGGGAAAATGTAGATATATCAACGTACGGGAAGCACGGGAAAATTATCTCCCGGTTTAAGGATGACGGATGAAGCTCAGCCTCATGACACTTGTACTCCGTGCGGAATTTGTCTTCCCCTCAGCTTCCGCGTGGATCCGTACGGTATAGTAGTACTTTCACCTTTCTTTATGGTATGTGGCTGTGTGCGAGTTATTACAGTAGTGGATTTCCCTCTACGGGCCCTCCCTGCGTTTCGTAATTCGGCATTACTTTTTCGCGGAATGAAAAGTCTAGACTTGAAGTTACACCACCAGTCGGTTCCTGTTTGTGGTGTGTACGCGAACGCCGTATATCATTTCGGGGTTGTTTACATCAATCCATGTACGGTCATGGGAGTTCGTTTCGCGTTCTGGGAAAAGAAGAGTAGTCTAGACAAGACACACTGAAGGCTATATAAACGACATCGCGGGGGTGGGGAGGGCAGGGACACAACGAAAGGAAAATATTGAAAATAACATACAATACGAACGAACCTAAAATCTCACCCGGGACGGACGAGCAGTTGGCTGGGACATGTTGTAACTTTGGCCGATACAGCAGTACATGCAGCATGCGCTCACCTTCTGGCCACCGAGGAAAGGGCAGCTGGCGGATGCGGGCACTGCAGCCAACGCGAGCGCGGCCAAGACCCCGAGTTTGCACGTGCGACTCATGGTGTCCACGCAGCGCGATGTGTAAGCTGGTGCGGAGAACAACGCGTGAGAGGGCGAAAATACTAAGATTTGATGCCGGCGATACCGCATGGAGTGATGATAGGGTCTACCGCATGACGGATGGGGAGGCAGTGCCGCCTGCTGCTTTGAATTCTTCCCAAACCCAGGCTACAATTTTTCGCGTTCTGTCGCACATCGCCCTGTTTTCATGGACTGCTGCAGTGGCTGTGGTGCTCTCCCGGCAAGCATCACGCCTTTGGCTTGTGAACGTGATGGATGTCAGAGTTACGGAAGGCCAGGATCCTCGGGGCCTCTCAGAAAGGAAATGAACGCTGTATCCACACTAGACTATACAGCAGTACACACAACATAGCAGTAAACTATGCTGTGCATAGACATAGACTATGCACAGCAATCTACTTTAGATGCTCACCGGTGGCTGATTCACCTCCCAGGTGCGTCCAGGCTTGAGAGCTGAAGAGGGTTTGGTGCTTGGTGGTCCCAACCGGTTGTTGTGAGGAGAGGGGGCAGCCAGCGAGCGGGGGCAGAGAGCGGGGGTGCCGGCGAGTTGAACAAAAAAAGAAGGGAAAAGAAGTTGAAAAGAGTCTGCTTCTTTTCCCCGAGAAGGGCCGAGAGATCGGCGGGATAGATCGGCGGGAG